TCCTATCAGCTTGTAATTATTGTTTTATTAACACAATAGTTAGCATTATTACATTAAAAAAGGGCTCAAATATTTCTATTTTATTCTTTTTTTAAAAGTGACTAATGTGCGACTTCGTCAAAATATTATGACAACGAAAAAAGTTTTTGATAAATTTTCAAGATTTTTTACCCTGTCCCAATCAATAGCTTGATATTCTTCTGATTTTGAGCAAAGCTGGGAAGTTGCGATTTCTCCCAAAAAACATATTGCAGTCAAAAATAAGTAGATCTTTATTCCAACCATTTTTGCACGAATATGTCGCAGGTATATTGTTCTGAAATGTGCCCATAATACCTTGGTATCACTTTATATATGGTATGAATGAATGTCGATATATTTAGATGAAAAAAAAGAGGATTTTTAATTTCAATCGTCTAAGCATGGGCTAATACTATATGACCATATCTCCACAAATAAACAATTCAATATATATAAACAATGCATCAAATCTAATGTGGCCATTGATTTTGTGCACACAAAAAAGAATTTAATAGAAGTTAAATTTTTGGCATTTGGGGATACTCGGCAAAACACGAAATGCCAAAGACCGGTCATTGTGAAGGTCACGTGGGTGCATTTTTGGTAAATCACGAAATGCTAAATTCATCAAAACAGTAAAGATTGAATAAATTTATACGGTTTATGGTAATTAGCTTTTCAAATGTTATCTAGTTTTGCCTGTCGCATAAATTTGTAAATACTTTTTCTGCGAAAAAGTGAACGTCAGCCAGGCAATGGATTTCTGGGCTATTTGTCAAGAACGGCACAACGGGTCATTTACATTTGCTCCGGCGACCATGATGCTTTGCACCAACGTAAATAATCTCTAGTAAAAATGTAGTTTCTAGCAATTTAATATTTGGCAAAAAGGTGTTCTGTATATTCCGAGAAATTATTGGTTTCATATTTGTTCATGTTAAAAAGCGTGTAGTCCCACTACTCGCCAGCTAGCGAGACTAGTCTCAATTCAAATGTTTTTACTACGCGCCATTATTTTTTACCAGTACTGGTGCCATTTTTTACGCCTTTTTTAATATGAAATTGGTACAGGATTGAAAAAAAGAATGCAATGAATGCATAATTACATTACAGGTTTGATTTTAAATCCACTTTTTTATTTCCTTCATTAACTCATTTCAAATACCCCTTGAATCGTCTTGAAACTAGAGCAAGACGGTGCGTTTTAGCAGCTGCACGTTTTATAATTTTAAAAATATAAAAAAAAATTTTTCTACGACTTCCACTTTTATCGCGTAGCTTTATCGTCAAGTTATTAGGCTGTCCACACCAAAGTCACACGATTTTAACCGCAATGTTTTTTCGAGATATCAGAACTTTGATAGGAAATGGCAAGATAAATCATGAAACATAGCTCACGGTCTTGCTAAACACAGTCCAAAGCAAGTGGATAGGAACCCGCCCTTAGCCAAAATCTGGTAATACCAGTGTGTTGCAATTGCAATCGGAGGATAATCTTAGATCGGTGGCAAGCTGAGCAGGTTCCTACGTAGGTTCGAATCTCGTGAAAATTGTGATAATGTGCGATAGGATTACTGTACTACTCGCGTCGCGAGGTTACTTTGCTGTTCGATTTGAGTTTGCGAGTAGTGGGCCGTTCATGTCCCGCACGAATATGAAATTACTAATTTCTCGGAATATACTAAAACATCTCTTCGCTAAATATTGAATTACTGGAAATAACATTCTTACTAGAGATCATTTACGTTGGTGCAAAGCACATAGTCGCCAGAGCAAATGTAAATGGCGCGTTGTGCTGTTCTTGACAAATAGCACAGAAATATGTTGCCTGACGTTCACATTTAACGGTGCGACATATATTATATTTGCCAATTCATGCAACAGGCAAAAATAGATAACATTTGGAAAGTCAATTACCATAAACAGTTGAAAAATTATTCAAAACGTATTGTTTTGATGAATTTAGCATTTCGTGAGTTACCAAACATGCTCGCACATGGCCTTTACATTAACCAGGTTTTACAAAAAATTACTTGCAAATTTTTGCGACCTTTTAAAATCAAAAATAAATAACGTCAGTGCGGTGAACAGTCGGGTAATTCAAATTTCATATTTTGAATATTCAAATTATAAACCGTTAGTTATTGTCCAACCCTCACTGCTTGACAACTTTACCATTTCGTGTTTTACCAAATATCTTAAAATGTCAAAAATTTCACTTTTATTAGCCTTCTGCTTTTGTGTTCATATGAAACAACAACGGCAACATTGGATTTGAGGCATTGTTCACATATAATAAATTGTTCCCTTGTGGAAATATGGTCATATAGTATTAGCCCTTGCTCCTTAGACGGTTGACTTTGAAAAGCATTTTTTAATTTACCGTAAATATATCGGCAATATATCGGCGTTCCAAGAAATATTTAAAGTGGTAACAAAATTTTATGGGTCGCATTCAGGAACAGTAAACCCGCGACATATTTGTAAAAGAATGATCGGAATAACGATCTAAATATTTTCGACTGTAATATATAGGTTTTCTGAGAGAAGCCGCAACTTCCCAGCTTTTCACAAAAACAAAACAATATCAAGCATTGTTGGGAAAATATCAAAAAATGAATTCTGTCTTTATAATAATTAATGAAGAAGTCACACATCAGGCTCATTTGAAAAAAAAAATGAGTAGAACTATAATAATAGCCATACAAAGATGATACGATTACAACCGGAGTCAGCCAGCTTTATTTTAAAATTTAAATGGACATTCCTCATGGTATAGTTGACGACTTTAGAAGTTGAATTCGACAATATATTTACAAAAATCTTCAGATAATTGTTGTTTTTCAAAAATACGATTTTGAAGTACATAATGTTATTGCACGTTCACTTGTACACTTGCGTTTTTTTCTTTATATACACAACCTAGTTTTCAAAAAATTGACTAATGTTCCCTGATTAACGATTCGTGGCGCAAGCCGAAATCATATAATGTATAATATAGGTTGGGAAGATATGGGCTTTACCTGACGAAATAAATTCGATTAGAAGCCATTTCTTTCAGTGTATTCACTTCATCAAGCATTGTATTTAGCTACATTATTTCATCGTTACGAAATGAATACACGGCATCCAAATATATTCACATATAAAGGTATCTGAATTATTGGGCATTGACAATTCTTTTCCTGATTGATATCATTATCGAACCTTTAATGAGATTCGACGTCGCATCAAAGCAAACAAACAAATTCGTACTCATCATTCGCAAATTGCAAAATGTTTTTCAAAGTAAGATTTGGAATTCAAATATGTTAACTGCTACATATAGGTCTCTTTCTCACTACTCACTATATATGGCATATTTGGACCAATTCTCATATCGAAAATTTCATATTAAGAAATCAATTTTTGCTTTGGTCTACACTTGCAAATAAATGATAACTTATGCTGCATTCAATTAAATTTGTGTTTGCTAGACAGTTGGCGCTCGATCGATACAATTGACGTCGCGATACAGCGTGGCGTTGCTTACTTGCTCCAAATTGAGTCTGATTGGCATTTGAGATAGGATGGTTGCTGGTATGGGCCTCGCTATCTCAAACCACTAGTACCCAGTAGGTCTAACTCTTGAAATTATGAACGAGAATGGGCTATACTGCAAATTTAATTTTAATATAAATAAACAAGAAAACTGCAATATTTGATAATGGGGCCTGAAAAGACGCAACAAATCGAAAAAAAGCAAATAACTTTCTGAATTGTGCAATTTTTCAGTTTATATTAAAAATCAACTGTTCTTTTTCTGTTTTTTCACTAATCGCGGAAGCAATGAGTTCAGGGCGATTACGCAGGTATGGTGAATGAACTGTATACTTAAGAAAATAAACAATTTCCGATATTTGACATCATGAAAAATAAAATTTGTGCTAATTTAACTTTATTGCATAGCACGGAAGCTTGGACATATCAGACAATATTAAACTTCTTGAACAATTCCTACTATGTTTTTCCCATCGCATTTTGTCTGCATTCGTATTGTATTGCTTATTCACTGGCGCCATCCGCCATCATATTTTAAGAATTTCTTCCGAACTGTGGCGCCTGCTGTTAAATTATTAAAGAACAGAGATCCAATTTTTTTATATATATTATAGTTAAGTTACAATTTTTTTCAAGTTATTGTTTCATACTCATGCAATCTTTGACATCAATTCCAGTACGTCGTAAACAAATATAAATATATCGCAGAGGCTGTCTGCTTCACATGACCAGGAACACTATGTTAGGCATCGGTTGATTTTGAGATTGTATCAGGGCGTACTTGATGCCTTGGGATTAGATTATAAAGACTTTAGCTTGCTTGCTTAAAACGAGTAAATAGACGAGAAAGACGCGTTTGTGTGAAATTTTATTCTGAACAAAAAATAACAGGGGAGAAAAATAATGGAAAGCAAACTTAGAATTATTTTGCCTAACCTTCCGATTTCTTTTTGTCCAATATTAAATACTATGTGGCTACATTTTGACTAGCGGTTTTGAGTTTTATTTGAAATAGTTAACAGATTATAAAGTATTCGAATCAGAGAGTATAAAACCAACTTAGAAGATAACGCAAAAAATGCGTAATTTACGTTTGGTAACATTTTTATTAATTTAGTTCAAAGTTGTCAAAAATTGTAGGAATTTGGACAGCGTTAAAAATTTCTACTGGATCAAGATTAAATGTTACCAGTATGGGTGGCATTCACAAAAAACGACCGAAAGATATGCAGTAATAAAAAAAACACTACGTTAAGAGTACTGATATTTGGGTTTGTAAAAAATATAATCAGTTGTATAAGGAAAATAAAATCAAAAATTTAACTGTAATATTCCAAGTAAATATGGATGACAAATTTGCCAAGTATTTTTTCACATATGTCTTTGATAAAATATGCTTCGAATTAATGAATATGATACTTTTTGGTTAAAACAGATAAATTAGAAGTAACATGAAGTCATACATATCCATCGTTTTTGTACTTTTATTATGTAGTTGGTCAGTCGTTAGCCATTACAGCCAAGAAGATACTGACCATTGTACAGCGAAGTACGAATCCTGCAAACTACATCACGAAAACGTTGAACGAGGTGAATTATTTACCAATCAGATAACAAATCGTATTTTTCTTTGGTTACTGTATCCTTCAATACTTATTCCTATGCATCTGGATTCTGGAATATTAAACTATTACTCATAAGCAATATGCTAAAGTTAGCCACGTAATTGAGTTTGCCTCGTCGTTTTTAATGACGATATATTGCATTGCTTGTATTACATTCTAGATTTTACTACGGATGCCTTTCTATAAATTTTTCACATTAACTTGCAACTCTTCCATCAATAATCTTGCGACAGTTAGCGAAGGGCTTGGAAATTTTCCATGACTCAGCTTGTACGAAAAATAAAATTAAACATATATACAGTGATTAATGATGCATTTATTCCGCATTTCTTACATCGTTCATAGCTATCAATTTTAACAAATTATTAACGACAAAAAGTTATTACTAGAGAAAAGCATTATCTCATTAAATTGCAAAATTAAAATTTAGAGCGGTATTATCCGGATAGTTGTCGAGGATTACACAAACTCAATTCTCTTTCTTGGGATGAAATCGGAGGAGTTTTTGAAATCTATCCTACCCCGGTTTCAGAAAAGATTGAAGTTTACTGTGATCTCATGACAGATGGAGGAGGATGGATTGTGAGTTGAATCTATCCATTGTTTTTCTAATTGAACCATTTTGTCGTGTTTTTTTTTTTTTCTAATATTGGACACGATATAGACCTATTAATCGTTTTGCTATTATTAATATTTTTTCATTGTTGTTGTATCCTCTTTGTAGTTTTTTCTTGTTGTTGTGAAAACAATCGATTTTCTCTGATACTTTCGGTGGTTAAAGATTTATTTTTTTAGTTATAACACTTTGACAATTTGATCTCTATCGCAAGTATATATATATATAGCTCCAAGCGCATCAGTGATCGGAAATCTATCTAATCAATCTTTTTCAGTAAACTCAAGCAAGCAAGCAGAAAACTTCGAAAGCCAAAAATTATTGTCAAATTAAAACTATCACAAATCATCGTATAATTAAAACTAAACCGATTGCAATATAATTAAAACTTCAATGTGTTAACAAAGGTATTTCAACGTCGAATGGATGGCTCCGAAGACTTCTATCGTGGATGGGATGATTATGTAAATGGATTTGGAAATACGGTTGGAGAATTTTGGCTTGGTGAGTTTTTTATTCACTTAAATGACATCAATCTTATTTTGCTGCAAAAAGTTCCTTGAAATACCAATGGTTGAAAAAATACTCTTGAAAATAGTATGAAACATAAAACTCATTCAAACCAGAAACTGGATGACGATATTCTATGGAATCTATATATACAATCTGTTAAAAATGAAAATAACCCTCCGCAACTGTTAGACGTAAAGACATCAGTCGATTAAGTGAAGAGCACCATTATATAGCTTGTGAAAAACAATTTTAAGAGCCCGTATTTATGTTACTGATATACATTATGAAGCCAGTACATTAAATTTTTAGGTTTAGAAAATATCTATCAGATCTTGAAAGACAAGACGTATGAACTCAGAATAGACATGGAAGACTGGGATGGAAACAAAGCCTATGCAAAATACGGGTATGACTTCGAACCTTTGAGTTTATGGAAAATCCAAAATCAAGTTTATAATTGTAATTTTTTATATGTTATATTATTTATAGAGCATTCTCGATCGGCGATTCTTCAACAAATTATCGTTTATCGGTTGGTCAATACAGTGGAACTGCAGGAAATTCTTTAGAAGCCTCAACTCAAGGACATTCCCTACATCAAGGACGATCCTTCACGACGAAAGACGCAGATCATGACATAGGATCTGACAGAAACTGTGCCGTTGCTTACAAGGGAGCGTTCTGGTACGGAAATTGTCATGCAGCAAATTTGAATGGGCTGTATATCGAAGGAGGGAAAGCACAATATGCAATCTCTGTGGTCTGGAATACTTGGAAAGGCTACGAATATTCCATAAAGTTTGTTGAAATGAAAATGAGGCAAAAAGAGTAGCCGAATTATATAAAAAGTTCACATAGAGTTCACATTTTTCAGCGTTTGTAAAATATATACTTTGCAATATTAATAATATCTTACACAAATCTAGAATTTCTTATGATGATCATATACTAGCAATGGGCTTTTGATAACAGACAAAAATTATTTTTGGAATACCTTGGCTTGTTTAATAAAGATATCCAGTTTAAGTGGCGTCTTTATGTTTCCTCTTATCGGTGATCTGATAAAAACTTTAATGACATCAAAGAGCATAGCTTATTTGGAAAAGCATCGCCGTTTAAAATGGTACCGTTCGCTTGATAGCTCAAAGAAATGATATTATCGACGAGAGTTTATTGATAAATTATAGCAGAGACATCCATCGTCCATGTCCTCGTGGCCCAAGGCGTACGTAACTAAGTCGACAGACTTGTGAGATAGGGAAAAGTAGAGGAACCGATATATATAAAGTAGTTCACAGACTAAATATTTACAAAACGCCAACAAAAGCAATCAACGATTGTAACGAAATTCACCCATTTAATAATGATTTCATCGCGATTTTAAGTCCTCGTATTATCCGACTCTTCATGAAAAACATTTGGTAAGCCCTAAACTATAAAATGCAATCTATTTAGATAGAGCAGAGTTTAATTACTGAAGGAGTTTTTGAAGAAAGAAATAATTTATATTTAGGCAAAGCGCATCTATACACATGGTGTCGTCTTTCACAAAAGCTCGGATTTTTTTTAGAATAAACTCAGTCTTTATAGCGATATCTTTATACTGATATCTTGTCTCTTATTGACTTGAACAATTCCATGCCTGGAATGAAAAAACACGAGAACAACAATTATGAGAGGTCGCAACCATAATGCACATAAACAAATGGCTCACTTGGCCACGTGACTCATACTGACTGTGCTTCGTATGCCACGATAGGTGGGGCTACTTCGATTTCATCACAGCCTTTGTAAACAAAATGTTCATTTTTTTCAAACAAAGATCTGGACAAGCAGCCAAAAACACTAGAAGCTTAATAACAAAACAAAAATTCATCAGAGGAGAAACAGTAGATTTGAAAAAATATAGTTTTCAAAAATAGTTTCAATCTGGAACTAGGGCTGGGAGTTGGAAATCAGTACAGCGTTCTTAGATGGTGTCGAGTTGCATTTCATTTCCGCGGTCGACTGCCATTCCAGGTAGTATTCCCTTTTCTATTTCACACTTACCCAATATTTATTAATTCGTACACGTTTTCTGTTGGGGTCCTTAATTCGAAATAAGAAAACGAATGGACTTCACCGAGAAAATCTAACAAATACAAATCGCGAAAATAATGACTGCTGAAGATGGTAATGCCATAATGATAGGTTCAGAAATAGTTCGTAATTGAAATAAATTATCCATAAATCGATTATACAGGAATCAGTTCAATAACGAAAATACAACGACTAGAATGACGACATCGTATATTCATTTACCTCCCTGGGGAGAGACTAAGCAAATGAAAGGCATTCAAAAATTGAATTAACAACTTTCTCAAAATATCTGAGAGCGTGTGAAAGAATTAGTGGTCAGACTTTTAAGTTAAATTCATATTCATGATATCTTAAATAGCAATAGGTGTATAGCAGAAGGTACACAGGCGTAATTCTACAAGAATATTACAATTAAATATGGATCACTAGTTAGACTACCTCTTTATATCGTTAACTATATTTGCACAAAACCTATTATTCAATTGAATGAAATATACTCCGATTTCCAGATAAATTGAAAGTAACATGAGCTCATACGACATATACATCGTTCTTGTACTTGTATTGTACAGTCGGTTAGTCGTAGGTCAAGAAGACACCGGACTCTGTACAAAGATGTACGAATACTGCAAACTACAGCAAACAAGTGGTGGACAGAGTGAATCATGTGCCCATCAGACAACAAAGTTTGCTCGTGTTGGAAAAACTGGTCCACGTGGTATGCCGGGACCAAAAGGAGAACCTGGAATCGTTGATTACAATCGTGTCAATACCAAAATATCAGAGGACATTTCAGGTACTATTTGTAATATTGAATCCATACATCTATCCTGGTCTTCTTTTGATTTTCATGAATGCAGACGAGCAATTCGTAATATGTAATACAGTATATATATGTAGTTTGGCACACACAGTCATGTATAAGTAAATAAATCTTTATCAAACAACTACCCATTTTCAAGCGTCAGGTTTTTGGCACTGTAATCAACACACAATTTATCCACATGTAATTTTAATAAATTGGTTTTAGCAATTAGTTTCTTTTCAACATTGCAGAAGCGGAAAGCCGTCTGAATGAAAAATACAATAAGTTGGAAGAAGCATTGCACAGAGGTAAAAATGGGTATTTAAATCGTATGTCATTAGTCATAAAGCAATCCACAGTCGGTCCAACTTGATTTCACCTAATAAAAGCTGTCCCCATTACGTCCCCGATTACTCTATGTTTTGTGGGCATATACTCAATATATTCATCAACTGGGATTCAATTCCTGACATATAGCCTTGTTTTAATCTAGCACATATGTCGATGACACAAATATATTCTCGGTGTAAAATCGAAAAAACAGCAACGTTTGAATATGGCTAAATCAACTACAAACACTAATGCGAAAATATGCTGAACGATAACAGTTTTAAGCAATTCTGTATGGAAAAATACCAATAAATTTAAATATTAGACGCTAATGAATTGTGCAATCGATTCTCATTTTTCCTATAGTCCACAGTTACCATAGAGTAAAATTTTGCCGAATAAATATTCCATACAAAAGAAAAAATAAACACCATGGCATTGCAAATATACGCGGAACAGTTGCAAATTATATTCAGAACGGTATTATCCGGATAGTTGTCGAAGATTACACAAATTCAATTCTCTTTTTCGGAATGAAACCGGAGGAGTTTTTGAAATCTATCCTACCCCTGTTTCTGAAAAGACTGAAGTTTACTGTGATCTCGTGACAAATGGAGGAGGATGGATTGTGAGTTGAATCGATTCACTCAATCAAATTAAAATTTGTTGAAAAATTATCTAAAGTATTTATATAAAATAACAACAAAAACATGAAAGTGTAATGTTTTCACAAAGGTATTTCAACGTCGAATGGATGGCTCTGAGGACTTTTATCGTGGATGGAATGATTATGTAAATGGGTTTGGAAATACGATTGGAGAATTTTGGCTTGGTGAGTTTTGTCCATTCACATAAATACTATCAATGGCTTTGTGATAATATGTTTACAAATAGACGGACGACGTGCACTTTTTTTCTCTATTTGAAAACATGCATATTGTGCATCCGGATACATAGAAAATCAGCAAAAGATTTTTCTTGTTCCTGATCATTTTGTTCAAATTTGGTTCGCGTGAACTGGAAGCTTTGTAATGTACCCAGTTATGAAAAGATTGCATTTTTTCATTGACGAATAGGACAAATATGTTATGATCTTAAAATGATTTCGCTTACCCGCATCGACGCACTATTAATCGGAACTGGCCACGTAAATGTCATTCCCGTGGGAATTTTACTAACTTGGGATCTTACTGAAAGTGTGGTTGATAAGTTGTTGAATGATGAAGAACGCCATATGATTAATTTTAAACCTTAACTTAAGCCGCATAAAACGTTGTATAAAAAAACTATTTGAAACAAAGCAGTTTACAGCTATTGAGAGAACTTATCCCGGGTTATGTCGATATAAAATCAATAATTTTTTAGTTTTTTACTCCTCACAAAGAATTGATCGATCATAGGATCCTCAATTGGCATTCCCAGAATTTAACGTGCAATCTCAATTCATTAGCAGAAAGTTTACAACATTTATTTAGGTTTAGAAAATATCTACCAGATCCTCAAGGGCAAAACGTATGAACTCAGAGTAGACATGGAAGACTGGGAAGGAAACAAATCCTATGCTAAATATGGGTATGACATCGAACCTTTAAATCAATTTAGAATCAAGTTTATAAATGCATGTTTTGATTTACTCTAACATTTCTAGTACATTCTCAATTGGCGATTCTTCAACAAATTATCGTTTAACGGTTGGTCAATACAGTGGGAATACTGGAGACTCTTTAGTCGCCCATCAAGGACAATCCTTCACAACTAAGGACGCAGATCATGACACAGCATCTGACAACTGTGCTGTTACTTTCAAGGGAGCGTTCTGGTACGCAGCTTGTCATGCAGCAAATTTAAATGGGCTGTATATCAAAGGAGGGAAGGCACAATACGCAATCTCGGTAGTCTGGAGAACTTGGAAAGGCCATGAATATTCTTTGAAGTTTGTTGAAATGAAAATGAGACAAAAATTGTGAACAAAGAAAAACAGCACAAAAGTTAAAAATGTATATATATATATATACAATACTAACGGATAGACGTAAAGAAACTTTTGTTTTTCATGTTTACTCTAATATTAATACATGCCTGAATACTTATAATCCGAATACAGTCTGATTCAATTTGCTATCGACATGAAAGATACAAGTATAAGTATATTTATTTTGATTTTCCCACAAAAAAAATTATACACAAAACACAAACAATGAACACACAGAAGATTGGGAAAATCGGGGAAACTGGCAAAACCTTTACAAAGGTTTAATAATGTAAATATACATGCGCCAGTTTACCCACATTCAACACACAAACATATATTCAAAATAAAAAAAGACAAAGAAATGAACGGATATCGTTCGGGCGTCAAACTTGTGTAACATGAACACTCGGTGGGTTTGATAGGATGGAATGCGTGGCTATGGTATGTGAATCTCAACGAGTCAACAGTGCTTTTCCCACAGGAATATGAAATAAAAAAAAACACTCGTTGACGTAAAATGCTGTAGTTCAATTCCATTGCAAAAATAACACAGTGACAAAAACATTTTATTAATAAAAAAAAAACTCTGTAAATAGATTGAATGTTTTATAACAGTCTATGTACAAACATGGATTGAGGTATCGGGTTGTTTTGTCGTTTTCGATTAGTTCAATTTAAAATCATTGTATTCGTTCCAATGCTTCCAATATTCATATCGAATTTCCAACAGGTGCAGTGGTCTCGTCTTTTCTGCGCTCTGTTCAATTATCCATGACTAGATTCATAAAAGGATCGAAACCTCGTCGATCAGATCGTCCACCATTTAACTTTAAATCCAATCTTTTATCCATGAACTTTCTTAATTCTGGTGTATGGGCCAAGGGAGTGGACAAGAACGTTTCTTGTGCAGGTGTAGCGATCGAGTATTGCTATATATACAATAAAATCACATTACTAAAGTCAATTTAAACATAGTAGACATACCTTAATTCGGTATCTCGAAAGTTCAAAAAAAGTATAAAGAAAAATTGAGAAGTATCTATCCATTGAAAAAGGAGATTTAAAATTTATTGGTAGGAGTATTTCTCATGAATCACACACTTTGAAAGAGAGGACATGGGCTTTGAGTGAGAGCAAACCCGTGCAACTAACTTGTTCCATTATTGCATCGTATGGACGCCATTTTCGATCATCAGGCTTGACTAGTGTAACTCATACAAGCCTAATTTTAGTAATTTTAAAAGGCTATTGGGGCAGATTCAAATCAGTATTTATCTTCCTAAGCGCAGAAATCCGATAAGGCGTCTCAATCGGTATCGAACCCATATGGGACACTTACATTAACAATAGGGTGACCATACGTTCTCCTTTTGGAGGATTTGTCCTCCTTTTTCGTTAAAAAATTTGTGTCCTCCGAGGACGCTCCAAAATGTCCTCTTTTTTTCACGGGATAAAATATTTAAAATTCTCCTATATTATCGAAAGTTTTTCGTTTTGTTTCACAAATAGGTTTTACGCCATTTCACCTCGTATATCGCAATTTATGAAATTCAGATTTGGACAGAAAATTACGCCAATATACCCAGTTTTTACTATAATAAAATAAATAACCCAGCAATGTTGACGACGATTAAAGGAACTGCTAAATACTCATGGTCTAAGAGAAAATCAATCGATTGTCCTGCATATTTTTTTAATACAACAAAAATGCGTTATTTCATTGTCGTCATTTCGTCTATTGTCACTTTTATATTTATTTCTAGGGAATTTAGTAGATATATTATAATGTATATCTCATACACAGATGAAATGCGGTTCTATATTTACGGTTCTACCAAACAATGTGTCCTCCTTTTAGGGTTTGGAAATATGGTCACCCTAATTAACAACCCACGCCGCTCGGTAACAAACAAAATATAGACACAACCCACTATTAGTAAATTATAGTTTATTTCGATTTTTCGTAACACTAAAACAAATAGGCAATGCAAGTCAACACATACATCAATATAGCCTACGTAAAATCGGGAAAGTAGGCAAAATCTAAAATTATCCAAGACGTGCTGATGCTAGGGCTTCCAACCGCCCCGGAAATGACCGGGACAGTCCCGCATTTGACGTCCGGCGTGCCGCGTCCCGGGCTGGATCACCTTTGTCTCGAAATTTACTGACAATCAAGGCGCGGCTGTGTGGCTCATCGTGCTAATCGTTAGGAATTCGCTCTCTACGGCACCCTCGGATTACTATGCATGGGTTCGCACTTCGCATCCCATGCGGGTATGGTTATGTGTAAGAGGATTGTTAAAGTTTATAGTCACTTTGGTATATACGGGCTTTGTACCTCACCCAATGAGCATATATATATTGCCTCATTGCCTCACCAAAGTGCACTTTGTACCTTACTAATCGCTAGCGCCCTCGGGCGTGCACTTTCAACGAAACCTATTCTGCTGAACTCGTCGCTGTCTTTGAGCACTGATTCACAGCGTTGGCTTTTTAACGCCAAATTTCACAATTTTGGCTTTTTTGAAACACGTTTGCCATCAGAATTTTCGTTCGACTTTTTTATGTTCATTCTACTGTATTAAATCATTTAAAATACCGGTACTCAACATTTAGATTTTCCCCTAACCACAACCAATCAAAAATAAGCCAACAATGACATAACAATTGCAGTTTTTGCAGCCGCTCAGATGTTCAAGCAGGCCTCGTTTCATAGCTTTGAGTGTTATTTCAGTTTTTTAGTATGTTTAAATAAAAATATCTGTATGGGTTAATTCAGTACGGTAATTGACATTTTGCCTTCCGAGGACCTTTAGTTTGGTTGCAGGAATCAAAATTTTCGGGACGGACTAAAAGTAGGCACTTGCAAATTAGGCACTTTTTTAGGCACTTATTTAGGCACTTTGGAAAAAAAGTAAAAAGGGCGTAATACCTTTTAAAAACATAATTAATTAGTTAAAAATTGTCAAATTGAATGTTGAAAACGTAAATTGCAACGGGCAAACTCAATAGCAATATTTAAAACGCAGTATCAAAGGCAGTCGCACACGCTTGGTCACCACATATGCTAGGCACATGTTTAGGCACTTCGAAAAATAAATAAAATGGCATATTCACTAATAAAAGACAGAGAAATAAACATATTACCCACACTGATTAGCCTGAGTAAATATCTAAGATATGCACTTGAGTCTAGTACTGGAATTTGGAAATAATAAATTGTTACCGGTAGGCACTTTTTTAGGCACTTATTTAGGCACATCGAAAAAAAGGTGAAATGGACGTCGTAACTCCTAGAAGGATAATGAATTAGTTCAAAATATTTAAATTAAATGTTGAACGCGAAAATTGAAACAGTTAAACCTAATAACGATTTTTAAAACGTAGTATTGAAGGGAGACGCACGCGCTCTGTCACCACATATGCTAGGCACATATTTAGGCACTTCGAAAAATAAAGAAAATGGTAATTATCACTAATAAAAAACAGAGAAATAAACATATTACCCACACTGATTAGCCTGGGCAAATATCCAATAGATGCACTTGAGTCTAGTACTGGAATTTAGGAATAATAAATTGTTACCGGTGGGCACTCCGAAAAAAAGGTGAAATGGACGTAGTAACACCTAAAAAGATAATGAATTAGTTCAAAATATTTAAATTAAATGTTAAACGCGGAAATTGCAACAGGTAAATCCTATAACGATTTTTAAAACATAGTATTAAAGGGAGACGCACGCGCTCTGTCACCACATATGCTAGGCACATATTTAGACACTTCGAAATATAAAGAAAATGGTAATTATCATGAATAAAAATACAGAAAATAAAAATATTAGTCAAAATAATTAGCCTATTTGAATATCCAATGAATGCACTTGAGTCTAGTAGTGATATTTGAGAATAATAAATTGTTACCGGTAGGCACTTTTTAGTCACTTATTTAGACACTTCTAAAAATGCGTAAAATGGGCGTAATAACTTTTAAAATGATAATGGTACAGTATAGGAAGATTCTTTCGGGAGTCAAAGGTCGGGGAAAGGTCCATTGCAATTGATTTGAGACATATATTGTTTCCAGACAATTGCGTATCACCACTGCTTTAATTAATGAACTCTTTGAACCCTGGCGTCTCTGAGCTAGCAAGATTAACTAGTATGACCAATATCGTGCAACTCCCATTAATACTACGTTTAAAAGATTGTTATTGGGTTTACCTGTTGCACTTTGCAGGTTCAACATTTAATTTTGACTATTTTTAACTAATTCATTATCTTTGTGAAAGTTATTAATCCCATGTTACCTTTTTTCCTAAGTGCCTAATTGATGGTACCTACCAGTAACAATTTAAAATTTTTAAATGGCACTAATAAACTGAAGCGCATATTCACATAGGCTAATTAGTGTGACTAATATTTTCATTTCTCGCCCTTTTATTGGTGATAATTCAAATTTTTTTCTATTTTCGAAATGCCTTAATAGGTACCTAGCATATGTGGTGATCCTTCGAATACTACGTTTTGAATATTATCATTGTTTTTACTTGTTGCACTTCGCGTGTGCAGCATTTAATTTGACTACTTTCAACTAATTCATTAATTGTGTTTTCAAAAGAGTTATTACGCTCATTTTAATTTTTTTTTTCAAACTGCCTATCGTGTTTCCCCGAAAATAAGACCTACCCTGAAAATAAGACCTAGCCTGAATTTTAAGAATTATATATAATATAAGCCCTCCCCTTAAAGTAAGACCTAGTCAATAACGCGAATTAATTGACCTAGTGGATAGCAAGAAATCTCTCCTACACGTTTTAAATACCTGATAATCTACGTTTAACAGATATTTTCAATAAAAACGTGTTATTTATAGGTAAATTGATTTCGGTTTTTATATTTTGCATATTTGAAAATATTTTGATTCTTTACTTTGTAATTTTGTTTTTGATAAATTAAAATATAAGACATCCACCAAAAGTAAGCCCTAGTGGTAATTTTAGGAAGAAATTTGAAATAAGACACCGTCTTAATTTCGGGGAAACACGGTAAAAGGTGTATACCGGTAACAATTTATTATTCTCAAATACCACTACTAGACTCAAGTGCATCTATTGGATATTCACTCAGTCCCAGGCTAATCATTTTGACTAATATTTTTATCTTTTTTTTTTCGATGTTACCAAAATATGTGCCTAGCATATGTGGTGACAGAGCGCGTGCGTCTCCCTTTAGTACTAAGTTTTAAAAATCATTATTGGGTTTAACTGTTGCAATTTTTGCGTTCAACATTTAAGTTAAATATTTTGAACTAATTCATTATCTTTCTAGAAGTTACTACGTCCATTTCACCTTTTTTTCGAAGTGCCTAAAAAAGTGCCTACCGGTAACAATTTATTATTTCTAAATTCCAGTACTAGACTCAAGTGGATCTATTGGATATTTGCCCAGGCTAATCAGTGTGGGTAATATTTTTATTTCTCTGTCTTCTATTGGTGATAATTCCGATTTTCTTCTTTTTTCGAAGTGCCTAAATATGTGCCTAGCATATGTGGTGACCGAGCGCGTGTGACTCCTTTTAATATTACGTTTTAAATTTTGTTATTCGGTTCACCCATTGCAATTTGCGTGTTCAATATTTAATTTGATAATTTTCAACTAATTAATTATCATTTTAAAAGTTATTACGCCCATTTCATCTTTTTATCGATGTGCCCAAATAAGTGCCTAAAAAAGTGCCTATCAGTAACAATTTATTATTTCTAAATTCAAGTACTAGACTCAAGTGCATCTATTGGATATTTACCCAAGCTAATCAGTGTGGGTAATATTTTTATTTCTCTGTCTTTTATTAGTGATAATTGCCATTTTCTTTATTTTTCGAAGTGCTCAAATATGTGCCTAGCATACGTGGTGACAGAGCGCGTGCGTCTCCCTTTATTACTACGTTTTAAAAATCGTTATTGGATTTAACTGTTAACTGCAATTTTCGCGTTCAACATTTAATTTAAATATTTTGAACTAATTCATAACCTTTTTAGGAGTTACTACGTCCATTCCACCTTTTTTCCGAAGTGCCTACCGGTAACAATTTATTATTTCTAAATTCCAGTACTAGACTCAAGTGCATCTATTGAATATTTACCCAGGCTGATCAGTGTGGGTAATATGTTTATGTCTCTGTCTTTTATTAGTGATAATTGCCATTTTCTTTATTTTTCGAAGTGCATAAATATGGAGGCGCAGTTCTTACCACTTCATGGCAGCTCCTGCCACGAACGTACCACGCCGTCTCCTGCCATGGTTTTATGGCGCTATTACCGGTATATTTACAAATTCATGTACCATATTTTAGTTTATCATGCGAAATTATATCTACTTAAACCCTAACCCTAACCCCAAATCCATCCAAACTGTATCCATAAGAAAAACATTCCAACTCACCGAATATTTATCACCATCAGCAGATTAGGGGCAGCCCTGCTATTACAGCCGACCTGCCGTGGTTACGGCAGTAAAATTGGTGGTATTCGATTTGCTGCCGTAACCACGGCAGCTCGCTATTGGTTTGTGGCAGCTAAAAAGTCAGTCGCCGTGGGTTTGGTCTTAGTGGCCGTGGTTTGAAAATCCCGCCATGGTTTTGCGGCAGCTGTAGACGCCACAAAATACTTGAAACTGCACTTGTAAATATGTGCCTAGCATATGTGGTGACCAAGCGCGTACGACTGCCTGTAATACTGCGTTTTAAATATTGCTATTGAGTTTGCCCGTTGCAATTTGCGTTTTCAACATTTAATTTGACCATTTTTAACTAATTAATTATGTTTTAAAAAGGTATTACGCCCTTTTTCCTTTTTTTCCGAAGTGCCTAAAAAAGTGCCTAATTTGCAAGTGCCTACTTTTAGTCCGTCCCAAAATTTTCGCGAACAACGTGATTAGCTTATTTAGCTAAACTAAATTATCTATCAGTAGACTACCTGTGTAAGCGGCACGTGGTTGGATATTTTAAAAACAATCTCAAAATAAGCATAAAAATTTTTCAATAGCCTAGTAAAATATCGGGAGAATTTTCTGAGGCATGTAGATGTAGGCTATATCGCGAGTTTAAGTAGTCTAGAAACATGTACATTTATCACATACTAAAGCCTGAAAGCGGTATACATGGTGTATTGCAGTATACATATATCAGTATATACCGTATCTGTATATTAAACTGAAAAAATAGTGCTGTCCGTTTAATATTTCATTTTTTGGGTTCTTGATGTTTTTCAGCTTGACTGTCTCACTGCAGCACTGTGTATGTCAGATATAGACTAACTAGATTTTAATTCTGCACTTCAATAATCCTTCTTACTGTGTTGGTTTTAAACCCTTGATCGTGCTGAAGTGGAAATCGTCATGATACATAGTCTGGTGGTAGCAACCAATACAACTTTTACAGTTTTCAGGTTTTAGTGGGATTTGGCGTGGCTCATTAAATCAACTGATGGCTCTAAATCAGCATATTGCAAACTGTACAAATCCACTATTGTCAAATTGTGCTAGGAGTTTCAACTCATGATGCTTTTGTACTTGTGAAACTGTTAGCTTTTTCTGTCTGGATTTGGCTTATTTTCAACACTGGGATCTAGCAACCCTGGTTCACGGACACGAATCTCCCAGTCCATGAATTTCTGAATTTGGGACAATCAGACGAGAATTGGCAAATGATTTATTGCTATATCTAGCAGTGGTTAGCCACATCAGCATACAGGCATATACGGATATCGGTAGTAATTAATATTACTATATTCTAATTTATGCTTAGACTACATAAACCTGTAAACTGCACAAAGGCTTGAGTGCTACTGACACATATTCATAATACTGTAATACTAGCTAAATCTCTATTCTGTCATTTAATATGAACAAATAATTACTTTTTATGCATATCTGCATATTGAAGGGGGAATAAAGAGTTTCAAAATAGGCGAAGAGAGGAATTTATCGAAAAAAGGTTGGGAACCGCTGGTCTAATTTTATCAGTATATCTAGTTCTGTAGTTCAGTATAAGTTCAGTTCATAACATAACTCACACAAAAGTACATCTATAACTTCACTTGATTACAAATAAAGAAACTGAAAAATTTTCAACTCTTTTAGTCAGATTTATTACTTGTATACTGGTATATGGTATAGCCTTACAATATAATTTATAAATATTGCAACTTCAAATATCTAATCATGGGGAATAACGCATCGATAAAGAGAGAATCAGGAGCTGCAGAAGGTCAAGGAGGAAGTGATCTAGTAGTTGGTTCACCAATGGAAGAATCTGGATTTGTTTTTCCTGGACATCAGCATGATCTATTACATGTGAGAGGGTAGCATTGTCTGATTGTGGGGATGCAAAACAAAACTTGCAAATTGTCATTTAATAATTTAATTTTATGCTGTTTATGCAATATGTCCGTATTTTGATTATGGGGGTCTCTTGTAGTTTCATACCACAATAACTTCTAGTTGGCATGGCTCAACAATTTTTGCATATGTCATTCCTAACCCCTCCTGACTATGTCACCAAAAATTATGTCACAGCAATGCAATGAGCCCCATCAAAGTATACAGATGTTTAAATTTCTGTATTAAGACTAACTCGTTTTTTTTTAAATACATTCGATATTCAAGAATATTTTTAGCAAGTAGTCGGGATAGTAAAATATTTGATTTTGGCTCTCGCTCAAATTCTAATGGTTGTGGACATGAACATTATAAATATATTTCTTTAGGATGAAGCGGCTGGGTTAAAGCAAACTCATATTATGCACTCGGGTGGAGTAGCAAAAGTACCTGCTGTTTTTCGATGGAAAGGTGGTGGAAAAGAGGTCAGTAGAGAGTACAACCACATATTGCTTTATATCATTTATTAGGTTGCAAATAATAGTGTTACCTTTAGTTACTACCTTTGTGTTCTTATATTTGAGCATTGCTCTCTTATTTCATCCAATAATTATTGTCAACTCCAGAACAAATACATTAGGATTTAAACGAATCTCACAGGTTCTATTCTGTTTCAAGTTCCTGATTGATTTTTCATTACTTAGTCATCTTTGGTTAACGAGAGGTTTTTGCAGGTTTTTTTGGCGGGATCCTATGATCAATGGAAAGCAAGAATACCTTTGTCTAGAAGTCGTGATGATTTTTATGGTATTGTTGATCTTCCAGCTGGAGAACACGAGTATAAATTTATGGTTGACGGACAGTGGAAAACTAACCAAGATGAGGTGACGTCAGCCTGATATCATTATTGCATTATACAAATTTTATTGAGATATATTGAATATTGGTATCTACTTGGTTTTGTTACATTTAATGGCTTCCATGACTTGAAGTCTCGCTTAATAAAAGCACTCAAACTTAATCATGTTTTTTAAACTTTATATATATGTGTATCAAAAATGTATCATAATATGATACATATATTTAAGCGCTAAACATTTACTAGGTAATTACCACTTAGTTGGACTGTTGTTTTTAAAAAAAAATTAGAAGTGTAATTTTGCAATATGTTCATATTGTATCAATGTTTGATGGATGGTTCAGTTTTTGCTGTCAGCTAATCATTTGAAAGTCTTCAATAAGGTGTATAAGATTAATCACCAGTCTACATATGAAATTTAACTTCTGATATTGGCCCTTATATATATTGTTCCGCTTTGTCCCTAATATTTTAATACATAAAAGAATGTTTGTTAAGTAATTTTATATTTTAAAGCCAACAAAATTGAATGCTGAAGGAATAATGAACAATGTATTGGAAGTAAAAGATTCCGATTTTGAAGTATTTGAAGCACTAGCAAGAGATTCAAGTTCTTTGGAAAATGTGAGAGGTGGGATTTTTGCTGAAACGTAAATTAAGAAATGAAATGATAGGAAATAAGTAAAACCAAATTTTGTTGAAAATTCATGATCGAAATTTGAATTATTACGAACTCAAATATACAGTAGGTCAGAGGCGAAGTAGGTACTCTGGCCTCTTGGGTTGGGCTAGAGCAGCTTTCAAATTTAATTCTTGCTAGGTGAAATAGCAAGTTTTGTTTGGCGTTTGCTTTTCGCCCAAGTGTCCCATTTTTGACCAAATATTTATATCATTCTTTTCCTAAAATAGCATCCTATCTGAATGTTAGCCCAAATGGAGCTATTATTATAAGAATGGAAACTATTGCTTTATTAATGTCAACCTATAAATGGACATGAGTTGAGCTACACTGGTTGATTGTGTTCAGACCTTATACTAATTTAAGGATCTTAGGTGTTTGGCAGGCTGTTTTCATTTCACTCAACCTTTTTTATTTTAGACATAACACACTCTCCACCAGGCAGTTACAATCAGGATATTCCAAGAGAAATGTTAGAAGACTCCAATGTTCATCCACCAACATTGCCTCCTCATTTACTAAATAAAGTATTATTAAATCAAGATGTTGATCTTGCGGTAAGTACTATTAGTAGTGTGAATATTTTTTTTACTTAGAGACTCTGAAAAGTTTGTTTTGGATTATCTTGATCCTGTATGCTTCATTGTGTAGTACAGTGGTTCCCAACCTTTCATTGCTTGCGGCGCTTTAGGCTTTAAGCACTGATGGCTCCCCTCCGACTGCCTTGGCTGGGAACCTCTGGTGTATGATTTCAAAATACTTTTACTTGAGTTACAGTAAGCAACAGTTACCAGTAAATACTAATTGTAAAGATTTAAGGTGTTGAGTCTCGAATCTCAGTAAAACCCAATTTTGTTTTAATAATACTATATTTATACTTTATAGTGTGAACCTTCACTTCTCCCGGAACCACAACATGTAATGTTAAACCATATGTACGCATTGTCAATAAAAGATGGAGTAATGGCACTCAGTGCTACACACAGATACAAGAAGAAATTTGTAACAACTTTATTGTACAAACCAATATGAATATTCATTTTAAGCCACTTTTTGGTGCTTTTATCAACTTTTTCATTTTGAATTGCAGTGGAATATAATAGGTTATTCACTTTCTCAACAAACACTTTTTGACCAATTCCGCCTGCCTTATGCAATGTGTCCTACTCAGAATGAGTTTTAAATTTATTGATGAGAGTTTCCTCAAAAGGGTTTCAAGCATTTGCTAGAGCAGGGGTATGCAATACTTTTGTCGGTGGGTCATATAACCAACCAAGTTTTATCATGTACACAACAATTTAAAAAATTAGCAATAACCAGAATGCCATGGGAAAGGCAAAAGAAGAGAATGCGGCTACCGCTTGAGTGTCCGGTGATAAAGGCACCGGGCATTTTTACCCATGTGAGCGCCTTTTTGAACTGTTGGATTACGGTTTGACGCTTTATGGGGAAAATCTGAGTGTTGACAAGAGCCACACTAAATGGCTTGGCGGGCCAGGATGGGGTCTGCGTGCCATGCCGCCTGTTGCACAATCCTGTGCCATAGGTTAAAATATATTTTTATGTTATTGTAATCACAATGCTATAGATATACTGTTCAAGTGCATTAAATTGGGACCAACTAAGCTACACATAAATCGTAATACAAGTTAATGCTCCAAGTCCAACATCCTTGAAATTTGTTGTGAAACAGCTGGAAAATTTGATCACTTACATACTTCAACAATATTCATTTTATTGTAATTATAATCTTTTTGTTATCATATAATTAGAATTGCCCATATGAGCATGAATTGATTCGCCTTGCATATTTTGTTTTTCTTTTTCATGAAATATATGATTGCCACACGTTGGTCGTATTTTATTTTTTAACAGGGTGTAAAAAATCTTGTCTTATTCTTTGGACAGATATCAGTGCCCACCAATGGAAGATTATTATAGTTTAAGCATATTCACTGACTATCTGTGGGGTGCTCTATAAATGGTAATCAGGAAGACATGGGGTATCATATTTTTAAAAAAACATCCGAAAATCAAGCTTGACGCAACCATGGTTAATAAATTTAATCGTTTTGTTAGTATATATATTACTCGAGCAGGCACCTAAAGCTTTACCTACCTATGTCTAGGAGGCCGGTTCTAGGTCCGCTAACGGCTGTCAAATCTTTCGAAAACCTAAACTCTACTTCGATTGGATCCTTTTTTAATTTACTTTGCATTTTAAAGCTCATATCAAATATGTTGATTGGCACTCAGATTCAATTATAAATTAAATTCTAAAACACGTTTTTTGACTGCAAAATCATATACTGGTAAGCCGAACAAAAAGTTGGGATCGGGTGAAAAAAATTAAATGATCCAAATAGTTAAAATACATGTTTTTCTAAACTAAACAAGCTAAACTATAAACAGATATACAGTGTTAGTAATGTAGAGTCTTCATACCAGAAATAATTGAATACGCAAACTTTAATACAGCCTAAGATTATCTGAATTTCTATTTTTGCAGTTTTGAGTTGAGAGGATGTAATTTTCATAATTTCGAATCGTAGCGATTCGAATCAACATCATTTCAGAGCAATTTAAAAAAAAACGGCTTGATTCTATTTAAAAAAAATAATAATAATTTGGTGCTCCAGAAGTATGCGCACCAAGATGTCGCACAACCTGAATCCTAATCGGTACACACATACTATGTTCGGTTGTGCGCCATCTCGGTGTGCATACTTCTGGAGGTCCAATAATTTAAATAACACAAGGTAATTGCACGACGACAATGTCGCCTTCACAGTGTATGCCTAATGACTTTATTCTTTCTCTTCGCTGAGATTGTCGTTTTTTTTTGTTACTTATGTGAGTGTGGGTGAATGGGCACAAACGCTAGTTACAGCACTTGTTATAAACCTTGGTTTTGGTTATTTTTTCAAACTTTCCGTCGCACTGTGTTTTTTGTCCGTGTTCTGTGTTGTATACCAAAGATCGAAATAAAATTGTATTGTAAGTAAATATAACTGAGAGTACCTCTACGTAATAAAATTTAATATCCTCTATCTATGTAGTTAATGTATTCATTCATTGTGTCACATTTTTCCAACTTTATTCATACATAAAGTTTAATATTGGTATTCAATCACAATTTCAGAATTATTCGAATTTTTTTTTAGATTTTGATAGATACTCATACGTAGCCAGATAAACTGAATTAGCATATCTCGCATATATTCATATGCAATACTATTTCACTCTTTATTACAATATGAAGATTATAATCGCACATGATCAATTAATATGTACAGTCATTTTTGAAGATTTATTCGCCTGATCATTATCTTTAATAAGTACTCATAATATTTCGTACAAAACTTAACAGCTCTTTCATTTTGATAACCAATATTTATTTTTCGTGTCTTTCATGCTGAGTCGAAGAGGTACTCTCGTTGTAAGTGTACCAGGTAAGGGTTAGGCCATAATTTTATTCCGATATTTCTTATTTTAGTTCTATTACAAGTTCGGGGACTGTTTGTGTTGGCCAAGTGAATATATCCTCTTAGTATACACCCGCCCATAGTCTTCCATCCCTTTAAACAACTTGATGTGAAGAAGGCGAACAAAATTGGTTACCTCCATACTGGTGAGCCCCTCGTCAAAATATAGTTCTCACGAAGTGATTTTAAAATATAGCAGCGTATAAGTAATCAATGTAATCATAATCCACAAAACCACACCAACGATTTCCGAAGATGTGTGTGATGTCATAAATATATCCAGCGGATGTAACAATTCAATGCGCTAAAGAAATGACTATTCATTTGAATAAGATTGTGCACGGTTTTTGATTTCAGTTCCGGAACGAAGGTGATGGACGCATTATTACGTCATCACGTCTCGGCGAGCGTGATGATTGGAAGAAAAAAACATGATGTCATAACTAAAATGAACGTTTTTTGCAGTTAAACATGATTGATATGTGTTATTTAATGCAAGTCAAGTACGTGATAGGTTTTGGCTTGCATTTGAGGACAACAAACGCAGCCGATCTTTAAAGGTACGTCAAAGCGCTCATCGTGCGCACCTTCACCGAAGTCCAAAATTAAGTATTTTTTTCTGAAGAACCATATAGGGATATGTGATCTGTGTTGTAGGAAACGATCGCAGCATTTCATCGAGTCGATTTTCAACATAATGTGATCGAGGAATGAGGAAATATTCGAACCGTTGTCTCTGGATTCACGTGATGGATCTTCAAATGTAGTAAAGAAATAGAGTAGCTCATAGATCAGATAGTTGAAATAGAAGGAATATACTTACATCGAAAAGGAATGGGTAAACTGGCCATGGTCCTTGTGTTTGCATGGAAATGTGTACTAACTACTAATTCAGCTTTCGTGGAGCACTTAAAAATTAAATATCTGTCAAGCAGGTCAATCTAAAGTTCGATTAGTACTGCTGGAGCGTACTGAAGTTTAGTGGGCGTTATGACTCAGAAGAAAAAGACGTACTCCGCCTAGTATAACAACATGGAAATACGACTACAGAACTTTACGGCCTGAAAACATTGGAGTGTAAGAGTAGCTAATTAGGTCATTTATGAGGATAAAGTAAATATGTGCAAACCTGAAAGTGTGTCCCGATTTCAATTGTATTCCTATGTTTACTTTGCGTTAATGCCATTTTCACTCAGTGTTGAGAATTAGCAAGTATAAAACAAAATGTGGTTTAAATAATGTAAATATTTACTCAATTTATCAAGAGTGTATACCAAATACACGCAACTGTGTTATGCCATCTCCGCATTTGCATTTCTAAGAGGTCAGAGTATTTTTATGACTTTATTTGTTAATTATTGCCTAATTTGAATGGGGCATTACTATTTTATTCATGCTGTTATATATATTTTCGATACCAGTAAAATTCCTACTTGAAGTGTATTTTGCGTAAATCCCAAAAATTGTTGGATCAAGCAGACAGTCGTCAGACCAATAAAAAATATTCAATTCAAGGCGAGCGCCTCTACCTCATAGAGTGACGTTTAAAAACATTCCTTGCGTTCCCCGACACTCATTCACACCATAAAAGAACAGTTTAAACTACCTTATAAGGCAAGGCGCTGGTGCATGACGAAGTCATGCTCTCGCAAAAGCGTGGCTATTTTTCGAGAAAGCGGTAATTGCGAACACCGACCAAAATCATTTTTATTGATGCATTATCGATATGCCTTGTAGGTATATAAACTAAAATAGCACACAAACTGTTTAATATTGTATTCCTTATTTCGGGCTGATAACACGTTTCGACAATTTGTTGTTATTAGTTATTCCCGGATGATATCACAGCCCACTCGTAAAAAGACTGTTTATGGATATAGTTTTTCGCGTCGAAGAGTTAAGAGACTACGACGTACTTAAAAGTTCACGCATCGTTTGAGAAGATATATTCACCGTTTTTCGCTACTCTTCTTTTTACTAGCCTTCTTCGCTCTATGATTTTTGTCTGATATAGCCTGTGTGTTTTGTATGTCGATCGAAAAACATTCAGTGGGTCGAGCGTCGCGAGGTTCGTAGATCCTTACCCAAAGTTCTAACCGATTGCAATTACTGCGCATTTAGATCTTTTAGAATCTGCTTTAATTGTTGAAACCTAGTATAGCTTACCATAAAATATCAAAATGGATCAAATTAAAAAGAAGATGACGGATCTCCGTAATCGTGCCGATGCGGCTGAGGAAAAATATGACGAAGTCTTAGAAGAAAAGAAAAAACTGGAAGCAGAGATAGATGAAGTATGACTGCAATGCTTATTGTCTAGTTTTTGTTATTGAGCACATTATTTAAATATTGAAGTAAAATGCAATATTTTCGAAATTACTACGTGTATTCAACGGACAACATTTTCGTGAATACATCCGGAATATTTTGACTGCATTGCTAAGTTTTGGGGGTTTTCCGTACCCAAACAAATAACTTTTTCAATTAATTCATTGTTCAGATACAGGCTGAATGCGATTCAATGACAAACAAATGGAAGGTTGCATCGGACGAGGCCGACCAAGCAACGAGTGAGCGTGATGATGCCAGAAGACAATACGAAGAATTGAAACTAGAATTTGCAGATGTAAGCAACTTAATAACTGTAATTACGTAACTAAAATTTTTGGATTGAATATATGTGGTCTACGTTAGATTATTCAAATCGACTGTTCTGCCCAGAGGAATACTTATTTTAGCTTATGACTGTATGACAAAATCGCCATCATAAAACATTTCATAACAACGCTTATAAATGAGTCAATCAAATTTTGTAATTTTAGGTAATTAATATTGATAAAAGTATAACACGACGAATTTCGATTTCATTAGAATCGATTTGCAAATCGGCATGGTATTTTAGTAATTTTAAATTTCGAGAAGTCATGTATGTATAATCATTATATCAATATGCATGACGTCATTGCGGCTGCGCAAATAGATTACTCGTAAAAATTCCAACCATAATACAAAGGTTTAAATTTTGTTTTCTCAATAAGAGACTCTTTGTCATGTTTTGATGACAGGCTGATATAAGTACGATGAGGTATAGGAACTCTTAACATCTCGAGTGTTGTGGTATGGACTGACCCACTGTCATTAAAACAGAAGTTATGTCAGGAATAGAAAAAAATGTATAGGGTCGGTAATATTTTGTTGACTTCTCGCAATCGAGCAAGAACATGATTTGACTTGGCATACATACCAGACTTCATATTTGGCCTAATGTCTGCTTGGGCCTGTGTGGTTTGAAACATTCTCCCAAATAGCACTTCATTATTCGGTCTGGAATGTTGTAATTGGTGCGTTTTGGGGTATATAATGAACGAGCGGTATTATGAAAGTAAGTTTATATTTCGGATAAATCTAAAAAGATAAAGGGGAATTCGAAGTCGGTTGTCAGTTTTCTGAATTGACTTTTTTGACAGTAGCTCATTCTCGTACTGTTGTCTTTTTCATTAGTATAAGTAGTCAAGTATTATTAGGGTTAAGAGTTTGCGTGACGTCATATTTTATGACCAACAAATTGACTGACTTAGCTGTGGGAAAATAAACATACAAAGGAGGATGAATGAGTAGTGATGAGATATTCTTCTTTACGATATTTATTGGATTTCCCGACGTGATTGATTCTTAATTTTATGAGCTGGCTTCGTCGATGACTACGCTCGTCCGCGTAACAAAACTAATCTTCTATGTCATACGCAATAAATCCATTAAACAAGATTTTGTCACTATATGGTCGCGTTGTATCGGAATTTGGAATATAATTCAATTCCGTATGTCCTTTTGTACTGCAGAATGAATTTATCTCCCGTCAAAGTGTTCGTGTTTACTTAATATTAATTCATTCAAATTCGCTGCATTCAGTCAGTGCATAACGACCAATATTAGTTGATAGACGTTTTGTAAGGCGATATTTTTTTATTTCGTTTCATACGATCGTCATAATTATATCGAAGGGATGGAAAAAGACACTCGAGGCTGGACACGATGCAATCTTCGTTATGTTGCGACTTGACCTATGGGCATTATCAGTTAAATTGTAACAATTCATGTCTAGTGGGCAATACTTACATTGCATCTATTAAATTGCATTTACCCTGGAGCTATTCGATGCTTTCCGCAAAGGAATGAACTGTTGGAATCGGCCAAAGAATGTGTTAATGGTGATATCGGCCATCTGCCAAAGACGATAACTCTATCTCTCGTCACGTGAACACAAAAATATATTCAGAAGCTTATTGTTTGTGGATATATACAGCGATGGGATTCAATTTTTTTGTCAGCCGGTATCTTCACAAAAGTCATATTTTTCAGCCGGTTCTGTTACAAACAGAACATTGACAGTAACCAGTAATGCTAACCGGTTCGCTGATCTAATAAAATTCCGTGAGACGGTTCTATAGAACCGGTGCCAAGCGGCTGAATCCCACTACTAGATATGTATGCATAGTGGACTTCGTTGTCTTTTCAATTCGATATGTGCTACCGAACGAACACGGTCGTCTGTGTTAACTAAGTAACGACTAAGTGCGAATGTTTTTCTGGCTAGCATTTGTCACGGTCAGTGCCTCCGCCCAAAATACTGTACAAACAACAATATCGTTCACTGAAAGATCACACAATACCATGTAATGTTTTGTCCTGTCGGGGACAATTTTTTATTAATCGGGTTAAATAAATAATTTTGTTGTCACATAAGTGCCAGACACCATCTTGTTAAATCGATACCTCTGCGGTCAAATGTTATACCCAAATATAGTCAGTTGAAGAAAATTAGAAAAGGCAGAAATTTCTCCGCTCAGCGAGATAAGGTTTATCTTCGCTGTTTCTTTTTTCCGGGATTGCTTCGTTTCTCCGTCGAAACTATTCGCCCGCGGCGTCGTACCACAAGTGTACTTTAGTGAGTTTACAACAGTCATTTGTTACAAAGCTTTTTACCGCAAGGCGCTCAGTCAGTCATAATCTAATGGTTCAATTATGCTCTGTCGTATATGGTTTGTAGCTAACTTTAGCTATTGGTACTTAATCAAATTAAAACTCATGCGAACGAAGTTTGTTTCAATTCTGGCAATGATGCTTATAACCCACCCCCTATATTAGTCCAAAAATGATATTGTTGTAATGATTCGTGTGATCGTAAATATAGATTACCAGTCCGCGAATATTTGACCTCGCGTCGCGTATTTTGAAGTAAATTTTACCCTGTCGCCAGGGTCTCCTCTGCCAAATTAAATAACTAATAGTCAGGGGGATTGCAGCATAGTACCTAGAATCATCTCGAATGCTTGCCACCCCCTACATACGTTTGATTGAGGCTCATATATCGAATTGTTACCGAGGGTTGATATGCCCTTTCAATTATTCATTTTTTATCACCCAAAAATGTCAATAAGTAAGATACAGGAAAAATATAATAACGCGTATAAATATGTTTGAAAATTTCTTCGCTAAAATGCCATAAATATTTTCGTTGGGAGAATTTCCTAAATAGAAGGTTCATAGCAAACTAAAATAAGATTGAAGTTTATTATAAACGCGATTTCCTTGAACCTAGTACGAAGCGTTCATAATCGATCAATGTAGGAAATGAATTCGCGGCTGTAATTCCTCATGTAGATGTAACTCTTTCCGTGTTAGCGAAATTCAGACCGCTGCGAAAACGAAACTCGCTAGCCAAGATACCTGAATTTGACATCGTTCGCCATGTCTCTCACCAAAATATCTTTCTGGTCAGTCACGTGATCTCTTTCACGCCGGCGCGATGTTTTTCTCGCGACGCTTACTTCTTTGTTTCTTTTATTCTCTTTGTAACGCGGCACGCCCTGCTCATTCGTTCGAGTGGTATGACGTATCTATCTGATGGCTGCCAGTTCCGTTGGGCGTTCGGTTGATTTCAGTTTTATAAGTTACGGTAGTTATTAATTCCATATGGATTGCAGTTTCCTATTAATTCTTTTATAAATGATATTGGCGGTAGTGTTAGACAGATTTATGAATTGAAAGGTAGCATTGAAAGCGAGGCAATTCCTTGAGTTACTGGATTAAGTTAGCACTCTTGAAATGACAGAATTGTTTGAAATCCAAAGACGGAAAATTCTTAAAGTAAAATAGCTTTGCTGCTGTCGTTTTTTAATTCTTAGTATAGTAATAGACCAACCAGTTTTTCCAGTATACTAATATTCTGATATCATACCAAAATAAATTGCTGAATTGACAGCATACAGAATGTATATTGTACACCAGTACGTACCGGTATTCGGGTCTGGTATAGCAAGTTCGTTATCGGCGGCGCAGATGTCATTTCGGACGATCGTAATTATACTTTGGCAATCCCTATGACGTGATGGTGACGTCGTAGTGACGTAATTTTTGGATGGCATAGTCAGGTGGGGGTTAGGAATAGCATATGCAAAATTCGTTATGCTACGCCCACCGGAAGTACTTGTGGTACTAAACTATACTAGACCCCGGTATTCTAACTTAGAATAATTCTGTCTGTCTGTACTGTTGAGTGTAATTCGATGTAGACTGCTCAGCTTGTGAATCAACATCTCTATTTTTCGGTTCATGAAAAAGGGCTGCTAACTATTCCTCATTCTCAATACTCCGTTGGAAAAGAGTTAACAGGCTCCTGGAGGTTACCGGTACCTGTATCAGACACTACTATATTCCCAGCTTTTCCCCATGTTTTTTTTTTACATTTCAGGGCCAACTGAACTTTATGTTGAAGTATATTTAGTGATAATGCAGGTTTGATGCGGTGGTTTCACACTGCCTTCCACAGAGTAGGGCACAGTTCTCCTTCTTTTAAGTTACTGTGCAGCGTCGATATGGTGGTCCAAACTGTCTCGTGAAGGAGGGGACTGTACTCGATGTTATAATTGATGTCTTTTAATGTGGGGGCTATTTTTGGGGTCGGAGAACTGTGCCGTACTAACATATATGATACAGATTTACAATGGCATAACAACACTTCAAGAGTTATTTAAATAGATAAATTTTTCCTCGTTAAATTTCTTTGCATATTATTGTCGAGAACCAAACTTTGAGAATAGTGTACTAAAAATACTTTGACATGAACAGGTGCTTATAGAAATTCATAATCTTTATTGTAAATAATAACTACTGCCAAAATGGCCAATGCTATTAAAATAAAAATCCAAAAATTAAAAGAAGAGGTAGAAGACAAAGCTGATGAAATAGATGAATTGAGATTAACTCTTAAACGAAAAGATGAACAGATTAATGAGGTATAGGGTCGTGAATAATAATAATGAATTCATGATCAATGTGATTCTATAGCTTTCTGTGTGCTCATTTTATGAAACATGCTTCATATTCTGCTGTAGATGACGTATTTTTCAAATCAATCGCAATAAGCAATGAAATTGTCATCTTTAATTTCGTGTAGATCATAATTGGGCGCTCCAGAAGTATGTGTTCCAATATGGAGGTAACTAATTTTGTTCGCCTACTTTACATCAAGTTGTGTAAAGGGACGGAAGCCTTTGGGCAGGGGGTATATTCACTTCTGCCTTGGTTAACACAAACAGGCCCCGAACTTATAATAGAACTAAAAAAAGGAAAATCTGAATAAAATTATGGCCTAACCTTAACCTGGTACACATACTATGGGAGTACCCAAAATTGTAATAGAAAGCAATCTTCTTTGCAATTAAAGATATATTTTAGGAAAAAGAATTGATACAACAATACTGTAATTTTTTTTTCTGCAACTATAAAAAATTACCACATAGATGTGGACCGTATCACAAACATTATTCAATATATTTTGCATTAATTCAAAGACTCATTTCATATAACTTCGATAATCGAATACTACAAAAACTCGTTGATTTTTTTATATCTGGCTGTTCATGCATGTAATATATATATAATATATATCTTGTTTAAAAAAGTATTTTTTAATTCTTATATTGTAATTATTTTAAAACTCTATTTTAGCTCGAGTCTCAATCTGAGTCCTCAATAAGGAAACTCAAATTGGTTGAAGATGATTTAGAAAAGGCAGAAACGGCTCTTGAAGATATGAAAAGAAATCTGACAGAAGTGGAGGCTGATAGAGATGACAAAGACATGTTAGAAATTCATTTGTTTTTTTTATCTATTGAAAAAAAAATTGATATTCTTTCTGATAAAGATTTTAACCTACACAATTCTTTTTCTCACCATAATTTTATCAAGATGATTTAGAAGTTTATTTAGTTTTATTCGATTGGTTGTATTCGTTTTTTTTTACTTTCTGATTTTATTTCAGGCAATTGCGGAAATATGTGAATTTAGAAGACAATACAGCAAACACTGTAAGTTTTGATCGATGTATCATTTTTTGTTACAGGTGATAAGGTTTTAGTATGCTTATCATTGAATTAGAAAACCAAGCAAATAGCGTACATCAGGAATAACAGACAAAACTTTGACAAAGCCATTTAGATAATATTTCAGACTGTTAGGACTTTATTTTGAAACTAGTTGAATTTATGATCCATGTTATTGATACCGGCCTTAAATATACGGTAGTTAAGTTTATTTAAAGTATTTTGTTTTTATTTTACTCCAGTTGGAACAACAACAGTGTGAGTTACTTCAAGCCAAGGATATTGCACAAGTAGCTGATTCTAAATATGAAGAGGTTAGTCATTTTAATTTGCATATTTCAAAACCATTTTGTTCCTAGTTTAATGTCTCTGACATCGTTTGCCATGCTTATTGACTTTTCAATGTTGAGATTTACATTATTTTTCATGTGTAATAATGGTGATTACTCCCAAAATTATGAGCTGTTTTTTTGTAATATTCAAAAGTGACTTGAGTTATAAAGACTGCTTTTATGTAGAAAGCAAAGTTCCATCATTCATTCAAAGTTCTTGAATTCGCTAATTGGGTACTTTTTGATAAGCCAAATGATACCAAATCAAGCTTTTATCTGTGTGGAAAATTGGAATGAAATTCGGTTCTCAGTATATTTTATTTATATTTGGGATCTCAGATCGCTCGTAAGCTAGTTGTTATCACAGCTGAATTTGAGCTGGCTGAAAAGCGTGTTGAAGAAGCAGAATTGTAAGTTGTGGCACGACATTCCAAGTAAAAAACATGGCATGGCATTTCATGATTGTCAAAAGCTTTTTTACACTGTAAAGCACCTTGACAAACTGCCAGTGCAAGTACTAGTCATAGGTTTAGTCCCATATTAAAGATAGTAGGAAATTTAGATAAGAATCATGCAAGATCATTCATGTTTATCGTGACAACAATTCCAATGGTGAGTAAGAACAAAAAAGTTCTTTCAGTCAATTGGCTATAAATTTCCACAAGCTTTCAAGAAAAAAACAATTTTCTCACAATGTTTCTACCTAAAAAATTTCCTGCCGTGAAGTTAGTCGCATGCCTCATCTTGCGTGATTCATTAATAAATTTCTACTTCATAGTAGAGCATCATGCATGAAATACCTGTTTATATATGTAGGTTTATCGTAAGTTTAAAAAAATCGAAGAAGAGCTCCAGTTAGCTGAAGACAAATTAGAAATTGTTACAAGGTGAGAATATTTCATTTTTAGTAGACGAAAAAGAACTTTGAATTATAAAGCATTCTTGTCATTAGGTGTTGAGCTTTATACAATTTTCCTTAAGTCTCATTTGAATATGTTGTAAGAGAGACCATCACTTTACAAATATAGGAATATAAAAGTAGATTCCGGTAGCTAGACTTACCCATAGTTTGTGTTATACAATGGTCTGTGTTGTTAAGAGTTTAGGCAATAATATATGGTGGTATAGACAAAGGTTGGAAATTGTAAAAAACATCATAGCTCTTGACTAATTGATGAATTTCATAAAATTTAAAGTTCAAATTTTGATGTATTTCATGATTTTAATATATTTCTGACTGCAAATATTTTTGTCCATATTGACATTCTATTTTTGCCTGTTTTTAAATGATAGATGACATGAATTGGGTTTTCATTGTGATTTGCTTCTAATTATTTCAAATATGAATTACAGTGAAAAGAAAAATTGTGAAGATGTGCTTCAGGCAGCACAATCAGAGTTGAAGTCGTTCTATGCAATGCAGAATCAAGTGTGTATCTAACATTTTCGAAATAAAAGAACTTGATCTTTTTTCTCACTTTTTCCATTTCGTCTTGACAAGCATGTTTCATCAAACAAACACTCTTGTTCCACATTGAGGCTGCACTTCACTTCTGATTTCTATTCAAACTTCTTTCTTTTTTCCAATTTACATTTTTGCAAAATGGTACGTCATTCGTTTTTTTTGATGAAATTTCTCTCTAAATCCTAATTGGACACTGACGATGTAATATTTTGTAAAAATGAAAATACTTTTATATACTGTATTTCATCCTATATATGCTCTTTATACAACAAGGCAAGCTCTTGAAGAGAGACGTACTGCACATCTTACATTAAGGTGCCTGAATGCTTTAAAAGAGACTGCGGAAAAGGTAACTCTTGCTAAAAAGGAATCCAGATATTGCTAACCTATGTAACTCTTGGACAAGCTATCATCTTCCTTTTCTATTCTCTGCATTATTTTTATCAGAAATATGCTTTTTTTTTGATATTTTTAGTTTAAACACTGTGCTACACAACTGTATTTTGATTTTCCAGTTTGAGGACAAAGAAGTGGAATCCCAGGAAGCTGTTGATAAATGGAAAGCTCAGGCAGGAGAGGTGAATTTTATTGATATGCTAATTCTCTTGTGTATTTAATTTTTTGTCATAACCAACCCCCAACGATTTATCTTTTCACAGTTGCAAATACTGTTTGAGGCCAAGTGCCAAGAAGTTGAAAAGCTAAACAGGGAAGTAAATGAACTCGAGAGTAAGTTCTTAGTTTTATGAATTCATTTTTCAGTTTTCAAAAAGAATTACACAGATGAATATTATTATTATTATTAAAAAAATATCAGTGACTCTGTTGGATAAAATTTGAATTGAGTAATTTATGAATGACTATGTAATATCGTTTTTTATGTTTTTGGAAACTATGAGATCCTACAAATTGATAACCAACCTATTTTTCAACTTATTGTCTGTTCTTTTGTTTCCACTACTTTTTCTAAGACATGCTCTACGACATGAAAATGGATCATCAAAGACTATGGTTACGATATCAGCAAGTGAAAAAAGCCTGATTTCTCCTTTCTTTTTTCTGACTACGTATTTCTCATCTTCTTTTGCTACTAATGATCCTCTCTTGATTCTTCTTTTCGTTCCGGATATGTGAAGACAATGGATTGTGAAAGTTGTTACTTTCAAGGTTCAATTTGCATCTTCTTTCCGACTGACATTTTTGTTCTCAATGAGCTGTAATCGAGTTTTCAACCACTTTTGAACTAGACAAACAAGTATTTGTTTATTATTTGTCACCTTGTAGATGAAATCGAAAATAAAACACGACAGAATGAAGAGATGAAATCTGAACTTGAGTCAACCTTGAACGAATTGAACAACATATGAGATGAATAACGAATTCTGAAATGTGTTCCCCTGTGACATCATAATGACAACTATCTAAATTTTCAGCACTCTGATAATTGACAATGAAACGACTGACATTATCTTAAATGGCATAAACAAGCCTTAAATGCAGCATATATGCGATGACAAATTTTCAAACCAGCGATTCTATCTTATTTGGATTGATCATTTATATTTCTTTATATCCAGGTAAATTTACAATGTAATCATGGTTGCACCAAAACACCATTACAGGAGAATTTTATCCCTGTTTCTATCGGTGTTTTTATTTTCTTAATTTTTCCAATTTCAAATCAAGTGACCTTACTTTGTACATAGTAAAATTATTATGACCGATAAAATATTTTGCCAAATCATCTCGGAACCCAATGTGGCGTACAAGAAGCTTGGGACATGATTCGACAAAAAATTTTTAAATCTTGGTGCGTTCAGTATATTTTACTCACAGAAATTTTCATTGTAATTATTATTCGTTGCTAGCTTGTAATACAGAGGTTGCATGCTACACCATCTTAGATGTATATTTTCAAATTATTATTATTATTGAGGTCACTCGACCGTTAATGAAATGTAGTCAGAAGATCGCAATGCATTTTTTTCTGCAACAAAGCAACATAGTCCTATGGGATGTTGGTTTTACAAATTTATCTTTATAGCTTTACATTAATTAAGCATACTTATTTGTTACTAATCAACGATAGACATGTTTTTTCCTCGTTTTGGCGGATACCATCTCCCCAGTTTAACATTGTGGAACGTTTTTTTCAGTAGTGTTAATAAAATATACTTTTTACTGTAAGCTAACTTATATTTTGCACTTTTTCATATTTGAGAGGAATAGCTTGGGCTTTAAGCTTATACCTGAACCTTGAAAGTAACTTGACCCTCTGGCAAAGGCCTCCAATTAGTTCGATAGGATCGGATTCGAATAAGACCAGACCAACCGCGCATAGGCAGAAAGCAAGCTGTTAAGTAATAACATTTTTGGGTGTGTATCCGAGATATAGCTGCAGGTTAGTGCGACTATCTATGGCTTAAACGTGGTATGTTCAGGTTGTGTGGAGAAATTGAGAATAAATGAATCGAAACTCAACAATTTTAAATTTAATATCCGATCCATCCTTCCCACACGGCAGAAATCATTACCATTATCTTTCTGTGCTGTACACGAAACCATTGATAAATGTTTTATTTTTTGCTGCTGTAGCAAAGCAATATAGTGTAAACCAATATAGAGTTACATGTATTAAAAGAAACTTGAAAGCAGTTTTACCCGAGACGAGACATGCAATATAGGAACTGAATCATATAGTTCGGTTATTAAGTCAACTCGAGTTCTTAATTCAGAGAAATTAAAGACATCAATGTGGCGTACTTAAGTCAAACTAACTGAATTCGCCAAAAAAGTCTAAGTAATTATAGAATGATTGAAGATGATTTAAATATAAACAATGGATAAACGTTGTGTCATAACTAAATACCATAATGGGGTTTTTAAAATTTCCGACGACGATGGGTTGTTATCTACCAGTTGTGTTATGAAAATGATTAAGAAAAATAAATAAAATACATTTAAAAACATAAATTTCATAAAAATGCGGTACCTAAATAATAAAATATGGGGTATGAAATAACTATATTGAAAAAACAAATCAGGCGCAATAAATGACATGCCGAGAGAAAATAAGAAATACTTGTATTATTCCAGTGCTGTATTTAGTGATAATAGGCTTCGATAATGGTGATGCTGATCGATAACCAGTACTGTATTTTGATGGACAAATTTACCGTGAACGGCGTATAAACACGTTCGAAAATGACAGATTTAAAACGTGCACGCGTTTGCGTTACCAAGCGTTGGGCATAAAATATATACATACCGTACATCAACACACGAGTTAGTTACGGGACTGCCACATACACTAGGAAAACCATGTGAGTTCAAATTCACCCCGGGGGTTTAACAGACCTATTTTAGTGTAAAAGTCCTGGTCTTTTATCTGTATGATCAATATCCGAGATAGAGTGATTCCTAAAATTTGCGGTATACAACAGAAAAACACAATAAGAATAGTTATAAGAAACATATTACTCTGCAGCCAAGTGACGAGCGCATCTAAACACCCATTTGTGTATACAACTACTTTTATATCGTATAGGTTCATACTCTGTATGTCCATACCACATAAGGTATTTACGACATCGTCTCCAATAGGGGGCAAACAACATGAATAAGGAACGCCACATCGTTCTCTGCCAGGATTTGCTGATGAGCAATTGAAATACATATTCTTGCTCCAATCGCTGACGCTGTGGATCCCACAACATTTGAACTCTTCTTGTCCCCAGTCAATAATATTCTGAAGATCTGGGTCATCTCGATAATGTTGAATACCATCTTTCATCATCTCTTCTATATGTGACCGAACGCTATCTGATGTAACCACGAAGATAAAGGCGATACATAGCTCTGAAATAAGGGCGACGGCTAGCGCAATAGAAAAATACTGCAACATACATAGATTCTCGCGCAAAGCGCCTACGAACCCGAAAAAGGTGACTGAAAATAGCATAGCACCCAGGATAAGAATGGGTGTTGCAGGATCCAGTAGCATATTCGGCAAATTCGAAGCATTATATGATTTATCGGCTTTGGCATATATTCCAATCAGTAGCAAAGAGAGACCGACGATCCAAGATAAAAAGTTTGACACAAATAGTACAATCTTCATCAGTCGATTTACAACAGGTACGCCATTCTTGTATCGCATTGAACATATGCAGCTTGAACACATTCTTTTAAATTACAGTTCCGAGATAGATTCGAAATAAACTACTTACATCTAGCCCAAACCTTCTTTCAGCACTCCCGCTTCGACTATAATTATGTCAAAATAAAGTACAATACGCGCATGAATGAAAACCACGCGTAGGTGGTACACAAAATTTAAAAGTTATCGACGAAGACGAACGTAAAAACGAAAGACATACAGCACATCGTAACGCGGAGTTCAAATATAAACTAGCCAAACTGATAAAAGACACCGCGTCTATTTCAAATCATCAGGCGCGACGGGAGCCCTGCGTTTTTAACGATTTACACACACAGTCACTCGCGGATTGTCCGGAATTCATTTACGTTTCGGGTCCACCGACACAGAATATATATTCCGGCGTGATTTTCAAGTAATGCCGTTTTCACAGATGAAAAAATTGGCTATCATGCAGAACTTGGCTTCATAACATGTATACCCTGCATTACGTAGCATAGATCATTTAATTACCGGCAATTATAGCCACTAGACAGGCTTGATTATAAATGATACTGGTGTGGAAAATGTCTATACCAGTTTTACCATAGTAATCAACGATTAGTACCAATGTCTAGCCCATTAGGCGTGCTAAGCGCCCTTATTCGGAAAGGTGCAATAAACATTTAAAAGCAGTTTTCGACGTCGAATGCCAATAATTCAAATATCCATCTAAAATCAATTTCTATGTAAAACACACGGCGAGCACACAGAGCAAACTTAGCGATAAGTAAAATAAAACCGTTCGTTCGTCAGTCAATCGCGTCTTTCGACGTCTGCAAATATATAAAAAGCGAAATGTAAGAAATTTTTAGGATGAATTTTTGATATTGCCTGATTTTTCTACTCAATGGGATTTTCAAATATCATAACCCAAGTGGTTGGGCGCTCGGATCCAAAAAAATCTGTGCATGTTTTCGATGAATAACTGAAAAAGTTTCTCTCATTTAAATTTGTCCTATATCTTGATTGTTATCTTAAGTTTAATATGCCTTTAAAAGTAAATGTGATAACTGACGACACTGTATTATAATACTGTACTATATTTAAGGCCATGGGCTGTTTATAGCACGAGGGAAGGAGCCTCGGTGACCTAGCCGGTCTTGCATACTGACCCTCACAAATAATAATAACCAATTAATGTTAAATTATATATTTTTGTTGTTTCTGTTGCTTCAAATGTATTACGCTGTTGATATTGTTTGTGATACGAAAATCTCTCCCTTTTTCTTTTTTAAAGAATTTCAGAGCTTTAAAAGTTGGGACCGCACGTTACATATATACTTCTATTTTAGTCCTGCTCAATACACCGCTTCACACTAAGCATAAGAAGGCTACTGTCTTTCTTGAAGAAAGGACGCGGTCATTTCAGGGACGACTTTACTATGGTTCGGGTATTTTCAAGTAACTGACACATGCGTAACACATAGGGTCTCAAAGTGCTCCACGGCTCCGTGGGAGAAGCCTAGGGATTTCACGAGCACAATGTTTTTTTTATGAATTTGTTATATGGCTCCGTAAATAACAGTCAACCTCTTCACAGACTCCATAACACCAAAAATTTGAGAAACTCTGGTCTAAATCTACAGCATAGGGTCTCGAAGTGCTCCATGCGGAGCCCAGCATTCCGTGAGAGAAACCTTTCGTTACAAATTAAAATACTGACTTGACTAATTTTGTAACCATCCATAAAGGCGCAATAGCGACATGAATAAAATTTGACAACGGTAGCGTCAAAATTTGACAATGAGGGGTAATTCAAATATGGCAATATCTATAAGGTTAGGATTTACATTTTTATCCCGGGTGAGAGGAACAGCGTAATCATATGGCGAACCACGGCCTCTACAAGTTCCAACAAATTATGCCCTATTTCAATTACAGTCTTGTTGCCACATTTCGACACTACTTTACTAATACTGCGTCTCCCCGAAAATAATACCTACCCTGCAAATAAGACCTAGCCCGAAATTTTAAAAATGATTAAGGACCTAGCCAATAGCGCGAACTATTTTTTGACCTAGTCGATAGCAAGAAATCTCTCCTACACGTTTCAGGTGATAAATCTAAAACGTGTGAGAAAAGGAAACGTGATATTTATAATTGAAGTATATCGGTTTTCACATTTTGTAAATCTCGTAAGGTTCTCATTCGTAATTTTTGATAAAAGACATCCCCGAAAATAAGCTCTAGTGTTATTTTTCGAAAGAAAATTGAAATAAGACCCAGTTTTATTTTCGGGAAACACGGTATGTTTGACAAGTGTATTTCTCAAATACAAAGCAGCAAATACATCAGAGTCAATAAATAAAGTAATATTAATTCACGAAGGAACTTTAATCGGTAGGTAACAATGTCTTTTTTGCTCTGCTTCTCCGCCTAGCCCTAGTCTATTGTAAATTTTACTGCTGTATTTGAGGTGAGGAAGAAACATAGACACGAAATTTCTAACTTCAATAGCGGACGAAGCTAAAAGTGTAAATACCATTAAAACATTGCGAGACTATTCACAGTCAGTTTTTTAAGAGATGACAGCAGGTATCGACGGTGAAGCACTCCTCGACACTTGAGTCTTGTTTGGCACGGCCTACGTCGCTTTCTCGAAAGCAATTTTCTGTCTTCTGCATCAAAACCACAATTAAATCTTTACAATAGTCGATGCAAAAACACACAACAAAAAAGCTAATTCAATAAATCAGCATACCGTATATTTAGAAAATATTGAAGATGAAATGTTTTAGTGCACAAGTTGTAAAAGGTGATTTTGCTATCATTCGGTAATCTAAATTGTAAACAAAGCTAAAAAAATGCTAGTACAGGGAACATTTCATGACATAGTAAAATGACTTGAAGGCATGAGCTTCCTTCATGATTGCTACTAAAAAGCAGTATTTCTCAAATTGCACTTAATGGAATGAATGACAGTGAAAAAAAAAAATTAGAAAATGTAAAAATTTATAAAATGCTTTATGCATAGATTTCCAGTTGACTGATGAGAAAATTTTACCATTGCAATAAACTCATACATAGCCTACACAAAATTATCCCAAAGCCTAATTCAATCTTATGATTCTCTTTAATTATATAAAAAGTAAGAAAATGTTCTGATGACATCTGCTCATTCATACAAAGCTTTAAATACACCTTTGATGATTGTATTGGAAGTTTCATACTGGTGTGTGAACAATGGATCTCCTCTATATTCCAGAACAGCACAATGACTAGGTGAGTCGATGTCATCAAGACCGAATCCATCTGAATTTGCATCACTGAAATTTTGAATACAAATTATGGCTGTGTGGCATCGTAACAAGCGTTGGGAATAATACCCTAAATGCAAAATTTAATCTCATAATTAATTTTCAGGACATATTGAAATTTTTGAAAAACAATGTTATAGAATGTATAATCAGTAGAATAGTACATGACTTTCCAAACTGGGGGTCGCGGCATCGCAGGGGTTGGCACAACAAATTTTAGTTGTTGCAAAGAGTATGCCAATTTCAAACAAAATACTATAGCCTATCTATCGTATTTTTTTAGACTTCCAAACATAATTATTGAATTTAGTGCAAAACACAATTTGAAGAGAATACATATGATCAGAGAACGGCGCGCTTGTCCGAACAGGGGGGTCATGAAAAATTTTATTATATTGGAAGCGGTAGCGATCTCAACAGTTTGGGAAGCCCTGGATTTGTATAGGTTGAAACAAGACCGTAATTTATGAAATATCATGAAACAGTAATTTTCATTTATCTAACTTCTTGAAAATACCCCCCCCCCCCTTAAACATAATTTTGCTATAAATAGAATTGTTTTACACCACCAGACTGCTTATCATTACTGTATATGCAAGAACTGTGCTTGAAAGTGAATTCACATAAAAAATTTACATAATATTTACCCATAATTATTGTTCAGTGTGGAATCAGCAGCTATATCGAGATTCGCAGGAAAATGATGAACGTCTAAAAACTCTAGAAGTGTTTTTGTAAATAAATTCCCTTGTGCAATAACATGGAAATAATTAGATAATCCAATTCTTCGTGCCTCAAGTACCTAGTATAATATAAAATGATAATATTAAAATTTAATTTATATAAATTCATAAATTCATATAAATGTTGATATTCTACTGTTAGGTTTATTGTATGGTCAAAGTATTATATCCAAAAATGTTTTATGTTATTAAATAACCTTCGTTGTTTGAGAGGTATAATAAGGAAAAAAAATTGTATACCACACAGTAAAAGGTTGAAGAACACTGATCTAGTCTATGGTGCTAAAAATACCATATTATTATTATTAAAAAACCTTTGAATCGTGATTTCTAATCTGTTTGGGAGGAAATGCTGGAGTATTGAGTTGTTTCTTGAGTTTTTTGTGAAGAGCCAGCAGATCACTGTACCGTTTTTCGACTTTATAGCTTCTTCCAGCAACATTTGTTTGTATTATATATACCTGTATTAAACAATAAATTTATCATTGAAAATAGAAATGCATATACTGTAGACAATTGCAAATTTATCATGCTTATTTTGAATATTAATAAAAACGTTGCAAGTTAGGATAGGATTTACATATTTATCCCGGGGACAGGAAAGCCGATAAGACGGCTTATCCATATGGCGAACCACGGCCTCTCGTCTGGTTACCATTCCAAGTCGGGTATGGGATTAGTTATTTTGTTTGTTTTCGGAAGCATGGACTTGGTGATGAAGGAAGCCGTAACTATCAGCGGTTACATGATCAGCGGTTACGTGAACCACCCAACGACGGCGAGGAGTCCAGCAATCCTCTCACACATAACCATTTCTGCATGGGATTTGAACCTGCGAACCCACGCAGAGTAATTAGAGGTGCGGTGGCGAGCATATTCCTAACGCTTAGCCTGTTGAGCCAAGTTATTTTTGACTTAATAATAAAATTTGTATTGAATTGCTATTGTTATCAATTTACACAGATACCATCGAATTCAGATAATTTCTTCATATTTTTTGAGCATAAGTTTGAGTAGGAATTCCCATTTCATTCCCATGTAAATAATTTTTCACACCAACATACCACAAATTCTAGGTTTGGCATATTTCTCTCAAACCAAAAGCCGAAAACTTTTGTTACATTTTTCAACCCAACTATATTTAGATTGGTTGCAAGGGGAAAAAGGGTTCTATTTCTATAAAAATTTGTCTGTTCTGTGGGTCGGTAACGAAGTACGTTACCTGGTACTAATGAATAAACTATGCGACAACCAGACAACAACTACCGGTACAGAACTACGGTATGTTCACCAATTTCAGAATTTATTGCTTCTCCGGCAAGAACCGGAATGGTTCAAATTTTTAATGACTCACGTAAAACTGTTTTCCGCGTTCTTCCACCGAGCGATATCCAACAACATCAATCTCCATTACCGCTTCATTGACATGTGCAACTATAAGATGTTAGTTACAAGAGCCTCACTTTCAAATTTTTGGGTTTGCAGGTTTGGCCGAACCCAAATCCTGAAATCTAACAAATTAAAGTTCAGGACGCTGATAACTGCAGCACTTGATATAACTGGATGTACTGATATTATCTGGTGATCAATGCAATAGCTTGTAACTGCCGTAACTATTGACTTATGAATATATTACATTTGACATTTGGAAAATTCGTGATCGATCAGATGAAAATGCAAACCAGGCTCAACAAGACAGCAACGAAACCAAATACCTCAAGTGGGTGATTTGTCCACGGGTCGCTCGCTAGATGGTGCAAAAGAGCGGCAAAAATTAGAATACAGTAGTGTTTTCATAATTTTTCCGGGAGGGGAAAAAGTGCTTAGCACGATGCGTCAACTGTCAAGTCGAAGATTTTTTTCCCTTCTAAAAATTTTATTGCGTTTTTCTTACTTTATAATTTCTCTGGGGTTGTGTGTGTGTATGGGTGCGAGACCGCGAGTGTGAAATAATTTAATAATTTTAGGTGAGTGAGCACGTACTGACGTACTACTTCTTTCTGGCAAAACCTTCCATCTTATATTCTGTACGTTTTAAACCTTGTCTAAGGTTTTATTTGTTCACTTGATTTTATAATCAGTTTTTAGTTATTTGTTTTTATCAATAATTTTATTGCCTGTCATGCTGATTATGGAGTCGAACTAATAGTGATTGGTAATTTTTACGAAGTGGCATATCACTGGGCATGTATGGCGGTAAACATCGTAACTAGGCGGTCGATCGGTATGTTACAAGTGTGATGCTTCACGGTAGTACGATAATGCACAATGCAATGCAGTGGAACTTACTCCAAGGATTTAGAAAAGAACATGACAAGGCTTACCCTATTTAATCTTCATACCTTTAATCTTCATACCTCACTCTTTGAACTATGACAAACGAAAACTAAGAGTATTAGTTCTATGTTCGAACTGTAACTCTAGCTTTGAGTACAGGATCATTAAAGTCTTCACCTTTCTTTTTGTAAACTATGAATGACAAATCTATAAGAAACAATTTATATATTTGATGAAGTCTCCTTTGACTGTTTAATGTCATTGTACTCTCTGATTGGGTTGAATGTTTATTTTCCTCTTAGGTCCGGAGTACATTTTGGTATACTTTTGGTTGTTGTTATCAGTATACTCATGGTGGTGCGTTGCTATGATTTACCTCAAATTTGGGCAATTATCAATCTGCAAGATGGGAACTTTAAATAATATAATCAGTATTGTTACTAGTTGTTCTCCTTGTAGTGGGAATCATGATCAAATATTAATCTAACAATTTTGTAAATCCGCCACAAGAGTATTTCTGATGGTCCTACATTGCAGGAATAAAATTCAATCAAATCATTTCTGCTGGTAGTCTGCATAATATTGTAATATTTGAATATATATACCCTCATTTCATATATATATAACTCTCATTTCATGTATGATCGCACTTTGAACTTGTATCCTCTGAATTAGTTTCTCAGAAAGTGTCAACTGAATAACTTGTTTTGAAATTAGTTGTATATGATGTAGTTTATTCTTGGCGGAATATTGATGCAACAACTCAAAAGTTGTCAACTGAATAATTCCGCTGGCCTAATATTGCAAAAATATAATCAACCAAATCAGTTATGTGGATATTTTATATAATGTTGTAATATTCGATTACATATATATAATCCTCTTTTCGTGTATGACCCAACTTTGAACTTGCATACTCCGAAATAGTTTTTCCAGAAAATGGCTGGATTATCATAATATTGAATCCTATCCATTTTTTTTTTCTATTAAGTAAAGCGCAATTCTTTGTAACCTTCGAATTAATAGATAATTTTGAAACTCAAATTAGTATTCTATTCACAATATAGTAAGTGAAGTTTGAGTTTAAATATTCATCCCTCTACATCCCTGATTGTAAAATTTTTACTATATTTTGGTCAATTACCACAAATACATTAGGTCCACTTCCTATCAATAGCACTGTTATAGGTATTTGAACTATTTGAAAATTCAATATTGCTCGAAGTTGTTTTTATATTTGATATATTCAATTACCTTTTGAGATTTTTGTTGTTTGATGAAAATGTTTCAAATGGGTACACCCGTTCCACAGTACACCCCCTGTAGACACTAGAACTTAGATCTCTACAGACCCCGATTTGATTTCAGAGTTCTATTTTTCATCCTTTGTTAATTAATGATATTAGTTATTTAGATATTTGATTACAAACCCCCTTCTTGTACCTTGAAAAATCCCTTTCAGTAGTCATTGAAATTGATCTTCATATTCACATTGTGTTTCAATTGTTTTTTATAAACCAAAGTTAATCCTATCTTCGCAAATCCAATACTTTAATTTTTTATTTTTTTCACTTATATTCCTTTTCATTTACCATAATAATTATCCAAATACGCTCATTGGGTATAACTCCCACAATTTGTTCACCATATTAGTAATTCTCCAGACCCCTAGTAATTAATATGCATGGATCAATGATCATATGAGCGTGATAACTAACTTAAATCAATAGCCCCTTGTAATTGTGCTTTTTACAATTATTTAAGTGTATATTACTCTATAATTAGCTGTTACACACATAGTCATCCATTACCTGTGAATCTTATGCATAACAGTGAATATGGGGGGAGCTGACTTGGATGACCGCATGGTCGTATCGCTCCCTCCAGTCTTTGCCATAAACAGTGTTTATTTATTTGTATTTATGCTTTCATATTTATATTTGATTTGGTTGATGAATCAATAAATCTCTCTCTCTCTCTACCCAAATGGCAAACCACTGTTTTTTAGCCAGCCACAGTCCAAGTTCTCAACTGTGAACAAGAATCTAGACAAGCGACATTCTAATCTAGCACAATCGAATAAAAGAACCCCGGAGTGCAGACCAACGTTCTGACTTGTTCAGCTCGCAAGCAGATCCAATCCCACCCAAAAAAATCCTAATGGAAAAAAGTCAAACAAAAATATTACAATTTACAAGGTATCTCAATTATATAGCGCCTTAACAGCAAATTTGCAAGTGTGATTAGTCTTTAGTTAAAATGAAATATGAACATTTAGGGTTCGGAATTCTCTTCCGTAAAATTCTAACCAGAAAATTCTGGAAGAAGACTGAATAATATGACATTATACAAAGAATCAATATAGGGAAAAAGCTTTTTTTGATAGAGATTAGAAGTAAAAATTCAACGAAGTTATTGTTGTTGTCTTGTTTGCATTAAGGGGTGAAAACTATCAGTAGTTACTTATCTATTTACAAAAAAAAAACGTTATTTATAAATTAATTTTCATTTTTACCCAGGGATGGCGAATGGATCTTTGACAAGTTCCCAACATTTAGGAAACGGTGGGGGACAATGGTCGAAGCTCCATCGCTGCCCGATGAAAATATTTGTCTTACAGATAATAAAAGTCCGAACAATGAGCTGCTTCGAAAAATGCGTGAATTGTTTTGCATTTTTTATTATTATTATTTGTGTTTGGAGAAGCTTTTAACGCTTTTTAAAAGATAAACTGTCGGGTTATCAGAGTGTTGACAAGGGCCACAATAAATGGCTTGGCGGTCCGGGTTGTGGTCCACCTGTTGCACACCCCTGGTTTATGGCATCTGGTTAGGCTATATGAAAATTTGGAGATGGGTTTGGAATAAAACGTTTTTGCAACCTTTGGTCATAATTTTTCGTCTCTGTGCTTCTTTTCAGTGCCCTTCACTTTGTTTCAATTAGAAAAACAGTTGATCACATGTTATAAATATCAAGCACTTCCTTCATTTATATAGAGTGTAATAAATTGGGTAGGCAGTGCCGAAACAAATCTTCAAACAATAGTAGCTAGGTTCGTATCAGTATCCCCTTGTCTGCAGCAATTTCAATAGTCAAATCCATAGTTTATAGGGCCAAATGCGACCCGCGAACTAATTTTTGTGGCCCTCGACTTTAAATGCATAAAACAAAAATTGATTCTAAATTTATTATTGCCTACACACGGATTTATGCGGTAACAAGTACTGCTGCACGGCGCTTGTTTTGTAGAAAGTAGCGTCAGCTCTATATCATTTAGTTGATGAACGTCGTTGATTGTAATTAAAAGTTACGGTTTGCGACGTAGGTCGAACATCCCAAAGTGCTTGGACGGAAAAATATTTTTTTGCGCTTTTCAAATCGCAGTTATTATGAAATATGTTAAACTTTTTTACGAAACGTGTTATTGCAAATACGAAATTTGACCCGGGGCTGCCCCACTGTTCATATGTGCGTTAGTGCAAAACGTATAATATGCACGTTCGGAAGCACATATTGCTGTGAGCAGCTTTCTCTAAAATGCATTACACTAAAAATAAATTTCGAACTTGCTCGTCAGATCGTCATTTGGACGACGTACCGATGGGCAATGAAGTTGCCTTTCAATTTTAACGCTTTGACTATGACACAGAAACAACGATTGTTCGTAGGCGAAAATAATGCGGCCCGCACGCTACCGGAAATGTATATATTTAGCCCGCAAGTAGCCTACATAAAGTTTGCCGACCACTTGCATAGCTGTTACCTGTCAAGTACGCGGCCAAATCCTATATGTAGCTTGAAACAACTTTTAAGTTCAAAAGTATGCTCTTCACCGACGCAATGCCATTTATTGAAAGTTTTCAGCGCCGCCACATTCGTGATATACTCTTCGGCAATCTGCAGATTTCTTAAGAGCGAGAGAGCTAGGTTTTGCTCGTCGTGTAAATATCGGGGATATATTTTTTCGTTTTTCTCATTGTACATGTGCAATTTTTTGTTTTGATGAATTTTCTATGCAAATGTTCTTTCTTTTGGGAAAGGGAATTAATTGGGGTCAAATTCGTCAATTGGAATAAGAAAATGCTAGCCTGTCGGAATTCAGAACGTTGCAGTTTACTGTAGAAGAGGTCATTCCTGCGCTGCATTCAGTCATTGCTACATTGGCGAATGTCTAAAGCTGTGTATCACTCAGATGTGTAGGTGTTTTTGTTAGTAAGAAGTTATGGGGGACCGGTATACGGTACGTCTTAGCACCAAGTGCAAAAGCCAGCAATTACAGAATTAGCATAAGCTGAAGTATTGCAAAATTCTTGACCAACAGAATTTCGGGGTCTAGTATAGTTTAGTACCACAAGTACTTCCGGTTGGCATATCACAACGAATTTTGCATATGTTATTCCTAACCCCCATCTGACTATGCCATCCAAAAATTATGCCAATAAGAC